GCTGCCCCATCCCTGGCAGTGTTGAAGGGCAGGTTGGATGGGGCTTGGAGCAACCTGGGCTGGTGGGAGGTGTCCCTGCCCATGCAGGGGGTTGGATCTAGATGGTCTTGAAGATCCCTTCCAACCCAAACCACCCTGGGATTCTACGAATTGGGGCAAAGGAATTTATCTGGGGCAAAGGAGTTGCTTGTTTCCTCTGCTCTGGTTTCTCAGAGAAAAAAAACCCCAACACCAGGAATGAATTTCTCCCTCTCAGAATATCCCATTTCAGCAGCTCTTGGAAAGAAACACTTGGGCTTTTTTTTTCCTTCCCCTATTTCTTTAAATCACTTGGCACTTCGTTTCTGACACTTGGTTTATTTTGGAAAAAAAAAAGTGCCTTTTTTTTTTTTTTTTCCCTTTCCTTCCTGGAGAATTTTGACAGATTTGTGCTTTTTCTCCTCTGAGAAGCCAAGTTGCAAACTCCTTAAAATGTGACGTGTCTGCTGGTGAGAGCCAAAAGAACCAGGGTCTGTGGTGCGGGGGCACATCCCTGTGTGGGTTGGGCAGACACTCCATTTTGGGAAGGATTTTTAAGGAAGCTGGGAGCTCTGGGTGCCCCCAGGAATATGAATAGAAGAGAATTTGCTTTTGGTTTTTGGTTTTTCTTGACAAAAAAAAAACAACACAGAAAAGCAGCTTCTTGTGGTTCTAGGAGGAAAAATAACCAAACCACCCCGTGGTGATGGAGCTGGAATGTACCCTGGTGCTTTAGGGAATGAGTGTAAAAGGGGGAAACAGCCCTAAATGTGTTTTTATATATGTGAAAGAGTTGGGAATTATCATTTTCTGGGCTTTTTTCCCAGTTTTTGGACCTGTGTTTGGCCAAGTGATGTGTTTGTGCACCCCCAGCACTGGGAGGCACAACCCACACCAGCAGCAGTGAGGCCGTTAACTGGCAAATCCCTGGGGATGGGGGGAATTACTGATGTAATTTGGGGATGAAATAGGGGGAAAAATAAAGCAGAAGAAATGATCTCCAGGCCTGGCTCTGCTTTTGTGCTGGCCCATTAGGGGATGTTTGCCTTTGTTGGTGCTGCTTGCTCAGGGCTTTCGATTAATTAGCGCTGGGGCCCTGGTCTGGGGGTAATCCCTGGGTTTAATGGGATAATGGGTCAGTGTTAATGAACCAGCCAGAAGTGGCTCCCTGGGCAAAGCCAGACCTGGGGGTGGGGGGCCACTGGTGGGGGGGGTTAAGGG